CAAAACCCACTTATTTATTGCAAAGTGCCAGGGCTGCATCAGCATTGTGATTCCCTCAGGGAGGGTGGGGTGTGTGGCCCACTGGGTGGGCGTGGCCAGGGTGGTCATAGCAGACTGGGTAGGTGTGGCCAGGTAGGCGTGGCCACCTCGATACTCTAACTTAGGGGTAGTCAACCTTGGCTCTTTTATGACTCGTGGACTTCAACTCCCAGAATTCCTGAGCCAGCACAGCTGGCTCAGGAATTCTGGGAGTTGAAGTCCACGAGTCATAAAAGAGCCAAGGTTAACTACCTCTGCTCTAACATCTCTACTCGAGCTTGCTAGCCGGCCATTTTGCCTGCTTTGTGCTGGGCGGGGCTGCTGCTCCAGGTGGCAGCAGCCTAATGGACCTGCACGAGCTGCTAGTAGCTGCAGTGTGCGTGCCCACAGAGAGGGCTCTGAGTGCCACCTCTGGCACACGTGCCATAGGTTCGCCATCACTGCACTAGGACTTCAAGGTCTCTCTCACAATTACTTTTTTTGAGCCAGGTTTCACCTAATCTGTATTTGTACCTTTGGTTTTTCCTGCCCAGGTGTAAAACCTTGCTTTTCTCCACATTAAATATCATTTCGTTGGATAGGGCCCATTGTTCAAGTCTGTCAAGATCTTTTTGGATTTTGAGTTTATCTTCTTGGGTGTTTGCTATTCCTGCCAGCTTAGTGTCATCTGCAAATTTAATGAGATACCCTTCTATTCCCTCATCTAAGTCATTTATGAAGATATTTTTTTAAAAAAATTGTGTTATTATTTTAAAAATTTAATTTCTACATTGAATAATGTGTTGTCTAGGTATATAAGTATTAAAATATAATAATCATCATATTCATAATTTATCAAAATACAATCATATACTAGGAAATAGCAATCAAAATATTAAAAATGGTATTACCCACATTAACATTAGTTATATAACAATCAAAATATTTACTAATCCATTATAAATCTTGCTCACATAATCCACATATTCTCATATTTCTAACATTCTAACTTCTGTTTTTATCAGCTAACCATTGGTAAAATAAGTCCCATGTCATATAATATTCTGTTTCTTCTTTTTCTTTAATTTTTAATGTTAATCTATCCATTTCTGTGCATTCCAGTATTTTTTTAATTATATTCTCCTCTGTAGGAGTTTCTTCATTTTTCCAAAATTTTTCATATACTATCTTAGCTGCTGTTAAAATATGTAAAACTAAATAATAAGAATATCTCTGGTTTTAAATCTATATGTTGTTTTGTCATTGCTTCCAACCATACATGAATTTTATTCCAATATTTTTTTGCTTTGGGACATGTCCACCACATGTGGTAATACGAACCTGGTATTTGATTGCATTGCCAACATTTAGCAGATTTATCTTTATATATATTTGAAAATATTGAAGACTACTGGGCCTAAGACAGAACCTTGTGGTATCCCACTGGTTATTTCCCTACATATAAATGTAGTACCATTAAGGACTAGTCATTGAGTATGATTTGTCAGCCACTTACAAAACCATCTGGTGGTGATGCTGTTTATTATTCTATATTTTTCTAACTTACCAAGAAATAGGTTGTGGTCTATCTTGTCAAATGCCTTGCTGAAGTCTAAATGCCTTCAGTAAGGCATTTGATAAAGTAGATCACAACCTACTACTTGATAAGATAGAAAAATGTGGGTTAGACAGCATCACCACCAGATGGATCCGTAGCTGGCTGACCGGCTGTACTCAGCATGTGGTCCTCAATGGAACCGCATCTACATGGAGGCAAGTGTGTAGTGGGGTGCCCCAGCGCTCTGTTCTGGGCCCAGTGCTCTTCAACATCTTCATCAACGATCTGGACGAGGGGATAGATGGGGAAATCATCAAATTTGCAGACGACACCAAACTGGCAGGAATAGCCAACACTCCAGAAGACAGGCTTAGGATACAGAAGGATCTGGACAGACTTGAACACTGGGCGCTATCTAACAAAATGAAATTCAATGGTGAAAAAAGTAAGGTTCTACATTTAGGCAAGAAAAACCAAAAGTACAGGTATAGTATAGGGGGTACCTTGCTCAATAGTAATAACTGTGAGAGGGACCTCGGAGTCCTAGTGGACAATCACTTAAATATGAGCCAGCAGTGTGCTGCAGCTGCCAAAAAGGCCAACACAGTGCTGGGCTGCATTAACAGGGATAGAATCAAGATCACGTGAAGTATTAATGCCACTTTACAATGCCTTGGTAAGGCCACACTTGGAATACTGCATCCAGTTTTGGTCACGACGATGTAAAAAAGATGTTGAGACTCTAGAAAGATTACAGAGAAGAGCAACAAAGATGATTAGGCTAAAGCATATAAGGAAAGGCTGCTGGAATTGGGTATGTCTAGTTTAATGAAGAGAAGGATGAGGGGGGGACATGATAGCAATGTTCCAATATCTCAGGGTTTGCCCCAAAGAAGAGGGAGTCAAGCTATTTTCCAAGGCGCCTGAAGGCAGGACAAGAAGCAACGGGTGGAAACTAATCAAGGAGAGAAGCAATCTAGAACTAAGGAGAAACTTCCTGACAGTTAGAACAATTAATCAGTGGAACAACCTGCCTCCAAAAGTGGTGAATGTTCCAGCACGGGAAGTTTTTAAGAAGAGACTGGACAGCCATTTGTCTGAAATGGTATAGCGTTTCCTGCCTGAGCAGGGAGTTGGACTAGATTTGTCACTTTGTCAAAGAATGAAATAAGATTGGTTTGACATGATCTATTTTTAACAAATCCATGCTGGCTACTAGTTATAATTTTATTTGCTTCTAAATGTTCACAGATGTGTTTTTTTATTATTTTTTCCAGTATCTTCCCAGGTATTGATGTCAGACTAATTGGTCTGTAGTTTCCTGGGTCTGTTTTTTTTTCCTTTTTTGAAAATGGGAACCACATCAGCTCTTTTCCATTCCTCTGGTAATTCCTCAGTGCTCCATGATTTTTTAAAGATATGGTACAATGATTCTGAGATAACATCTGCCAGCTTCTTCAGAACTCTGGGATGTAATCTGTCAAGTCCTGGTAATTTATATTCATCAAGGTCGGATAGGTGTTCTCTTATCATTTTCTTGCTTATTTTAATTTTTGTTTCTAGTCCATCTTTTACACTTATGTTTTTTGGTAGGTTGGTCTATAGCAGGCATGTCAAATTGTGACATCACGTGACATCATGTGACGTTTAACAACTTTTTCCCCATTGCGGGCAATGAGGTGGGTGCAGTTTCAGCATGACGCATCCATTCGGCAGGCTGGAAGTTTGACATGCCTGCTCTATAGTTTCTTGTTGTGTGAAGACTGATGTAAAGAATGAGTTGAGCAGTTCTGCTTTCTTTCTTCTGCCTGTTACATCCTTGCCATCTTCTCTCTTTAGTGGACTGACTGTTTCCTTGACTTTTTTTGTTATTTATATGTTGAAAGAGTTTTTTTTTCAATTATCTTTGACTTTTGTTGCAAGTATTTGTTCATTCTGAGCCTTTTCCCTTCTGATTTCATCCTTGCAGATTCAGGCTCTCTGCTGATATTTTGTCTTAGTTATGTGTTTCTCTTTCCATTATTTGTACTTATTCTTTTTGTCTTTCAGTTTATTAGAGAGATCTTTGTGCAACTATTCTTGAATTTCTTGTTTTTCTTTTTTAGTGATATTGTGTTGGACTGAGCTTTTATGATTGTATTTTTCAGTATTTCCCACGCTTTTTGAGTTGTTTTCCCCTTTAGGATTTTTATCCATGAAATTTTACTTAGACTTTCTCTGAGTTTGTTAAAATCAGCTCTTTTAAAGTTTAAGACACTGGTTGGATTATATTCTATTTTCTGTATTTGCATTATATTGAATTCCAGTATGACGTGGTCACTCTTGCCCAAGGTTCCAGCAGTTTCAACTCCCTTTATCACTTCTTCTCTATTAGTAAGAATTAGGTCTAGTATAGCTTTACCTCTAGTTCCCTCCTCTACCTTTTGGGTGACAAAACTGTTAGCTAAGTTGGTTAGAAATCTGTTCAATCTCCCACTTGCTGTAGTGTTTGTCTCCCAGTTGATATCAGGGTAGTTAAAGTCTCCCATTACTACTGTGGTATGTTTCCTACATACATTTGTTAATTGATTGGCAAAGAGTTTATCTATTTCTCCTGCTTGGTTGGGTGGCCTGTAGTACACGCCTATAGCAGAAACTGAGTGCCCAAACCACAACCCAAAACTTACTTATTTATCACAAAGTGCCAGGGCTGCATCAGCATTGTGGTGCCCTCAGCGGGGTGGGCGTGGCCCATTGGGTGGGCATGGCTGCACTTGTCACAGCAGACTGGGCAGGCGTGGCTGGGGTGAGCATGGCCACCTTGATATTGCTCATGGGGAGATGCCTATGGGGGCCAGGCAGGGTTGCGGGAGATTCAGGGGGTCTCTGGTGGGTGGGGTGGTGGGTAGGAGGCCCAGCATAGATGGGAAGGAGGCACGCAATCCTAGCTGGGACTGGGGGGCCATGGCACTGATGGGGATCTGGCTTTTCCTGCTCAGAGTGGCCTTTGGCTTGCTGGGTGTGGGCATGCTCTACCACCTTTACTCGAGCTTGCTAGCTGGCTGCTTCACCTCCTTTGTGCCGGGTGGGGCTGCTGCTCCGGGCAGCAGTGGCAGCTTAATGGACCTGCACAAGCTGCTGGCAGTGGCAGTGCGTGTGCCCACAGAGAGGGCTCTGAGTGCCGCCTCTGGCACCCATGCCATAGGTTCACCACCACTGGCCTATAGCAATGTCATTCTGTTTTCCTTTTATATTGACCCATATGGATTCTAGGATGTTTTCATCCTTGGTTTTGTGTATTTTTGTACACATGTAGTGATCTTTTATGTATAATGCAATTCCACCTCCTCTTTTGTTGGGTCTGTTTCTTTTGACTTCTAGTGAGGTTTGGGAATTTCTTAAAAAGTTTTTCTGTTACCCCCCCCCCCCTTTTTTTTTTAAATAGGGTATTATGGGGCAAAAGGGTTTTCCTGGATCTCCAGGTGCTCCAGGAGATAGCATACAAGGAAATAAGGTAAGAATATTAATGCTAGGGAAGGCTTTTGAAAGTAAATTATTCCTTCCATGTTTTGCATAGATATTTGTTTTATTACTGCCATTTCCTTGAATTTTAAAACTCCAACTAATTGATAGATCTCAAATCAATCACAATTATATCAACTTAAATTCTTAAATATATCCTAATACTATGGCCCTATTTTTTAGAGGATAGTCCAGCATCAATAGCTAAAATATTGCCAGGAGGTCTTCTTGTATGTGAAAATATTCCCTGTTTCAAGGTGGGGAGCTAGTTGCCTTCTAGATGTGCTTGAATTAGAGTTCCTATCAGATTCAGCCAATGTGATTTAAGGTACAAATGTTGGGCCCTGTAGTTTGACAATATTTGGAAGGTTAGCAGATCCATACTCTTTATTTAAAGGGTTAACAATTGTAACTGAATTTAAGACAAAGAAAGAAAATAGATAGCCTAAAAGTACTAATCAATATTAAGACTGACTTTCCCATTATGATAACATAGTAGTCCAAATTTGTGCCAATGTATACAAATTAGCATGTGCAAATAGATGCCTGCTGAGATTTAGACAATCTGAATTTTGTGGAGTTGATTTATAACTATTAGGGAAGACAATGATCTAACTGAATATATCCTTGAACATTGATATAGACTATCCCCCCTTCTTTCTTTCTCTTTCATTCTTTCTCTCACTCTCTTGCTTTTGTACCTTAAAATTCAATGCCAAAAAGTAAAAAAAAAAAAAAAAAAAACCACACACACAAGCCATTTTGTCTCCACTATTATCTATAACGACCACAAATGCTTTTCTAATTTCTTTAGCAAACTTATAATGAGAAAAGTAGTGGTGAAGAGAACTTCTCCCACAATTTCTCAAGGGCAGAATCCCTCCTTATATTGCCACTATTGTTGAAAAAGCCCAAAGCAAGGGAACCTGCTGCAGAGCTCTATTTTTATTATTTGCAAAAGATGAAGAGATATTTGCATCTGTCAGTTTTCTGGGGAAATGGTCTCATTTAGCCAAAGGGATATGAGAATTCTGGCTTTCCTTGTATTTTCTTAAAACCCCAGGATTCAGCTGTTTGGAGATTTTTCAAAAGAAAATTGCTTCCTGTTGTTCAGTAACTATAGCATTATAAAACACCTATGTTCCAGTCCTTGAGCTTGTAGATATGAAACTGTTCCCTGGAAACACAAATCCACAAATCCATAATTGTTTGAGTTTTGTTTATATTAACTCAGTGGTTCTGTAGGCAATTGACATTGAAGCTGTGCTATTGAGAGAAATATAATAACTCAAACCTCAATAACTATAGAGAAGGTTCTTATATGTTTGCTTTCTGTAACTTTAATAAAGATTGCTATTTAACAGACATAGTTATAGGTACATTGAAGTCCACGCTCAAGAGACATAAAGCTAAATCACTTCTTCATTGGAACATAAAATGACTTAGAATCAGGCCAAAGACTATGCACCTCTATACGCTTAATTTCCATCAGCTCAGTTGGCAGAGCCAGTGATCAAACATTATGAGAATTAAAGGCCAGCCTTTTCAGGATCTACAAAATCCTTTCCCCTAAATAAACACAGAAAGCGAAGATTTTTTTTTAGCCTGATAAATATTATGGTACAAAATAGATCTTTTGCAAAGATACATTTGGAATTACTCTTACGTATTATTTTCAGGGAGAGCAAGGAATTCACGGTTCACCAGGACCAAAGGGTTCCATAGGAGTTGGATTACCTGGTCCAAAGGTAAGAAGTTTGCCCTTTAGTAATCAATTAGATTAAATATTCATTGTATACTTTATTTAGAAATATCTTAAATACTAATGGCACTTTTTCAATTATCTTTCTGAATAAAATTTCGTATTGTTTGTAGGAAAGTTTTCCTACAGTTTTTTTTTTTAAAGGGCAGGTATATACATGTAGTCCTCAGCTTATGACCATTCATTTAGTGATCATTCAAAGTTACAACACCATTGAAAATATGCCTTGCAACCAATTGTTACCATTACAACCATCACAGTATCCCCACAATCATGTACCGTATTTTCCAGTGTATAAGATGACTTTCTAAAGCCTGAAAATCTTCTCAAAAGTCAGGGGTCGTCTTATACGCAGGAATATACGGGTAGCTGTTCTCTGAATTTAAAACCAATCTGCCCCCTAGTGGCCAGCCCTATTTTTTTACAGAAATAAGCATTAACAGGACAAAGCTTTCTAGCAGCAAAGGAGCTCCTATTGTGCTCATCTATAAACAGAAATTCAATATTGTACTGTATTTTTTGGCATATAAGATGACTTTTTAAAGCCTGAAAATCTTCTCAAAAGTTGGGGGTCGTCTTATACGCCCAGTTGTCTTATACGCCGGAATATACTGTAATAAAAATTTGATAGCTGGGCATCTGGTATGTATTTACAATGGTTGCAGTGCCCTGGGGGGGTGTCTTGTGACCATCATTTACAACCTTCCCAGTTGACTTCCAGCAAGCAAAATCAATGGTTAAAGCCAGATTCATTTAAAGATCACATGATTCACTTAACAATTGAACTGATTTGCTTAACAACCATAGCAAAAAAAGGTCATAAAATGGCTGCAACTTACTTAACAATCGCCTTGCTTAACAATGGAAATTCTGGTCTCATTTGTGGTTGTATGTTGAGCACTACCTATATACAAATCAGAATTTCCTCCTCAGTTTTTATTCGGGACAAAGTTTAAAAACGAATAAGCATTTTTGTCCCCTAGATTAACTTTGGAAACAATGAGTCGTGATTACAATGGGCAACCGTATTTTGTTTCTTGAAAAAAATATCAAAACATTTCCTGCAACAGAGGAATAAGGTGACTGCTGTGCTTTTATCACGCAATCAACCTGCTTCATTTACAGTGACCAGTTTATTTATTTACTTGGACTTACTTGTTGCTGATTCCCATGGGCTCTGAATGGCTTATAAATTGCCAGAGATAGGATTAGAAGCATTGCATCACTTTTGTTAATTATTTGTTTCTATTGGCCATGCTATCTCTAGTTTAGGATAAACTTTCATATCCATAGAAGCTTTCCTGAAGAGCCAGGTTATTTTTTCAGGTTTTCTTTCCTGCATTCTGTTAAAGAAGAAAAGATTCAAAGCTGTAGAACAATCTTGATTGATAACTTCAGGGATTATTCATCTAAAAACACATAAGATTCTTGCCTATCATCTTATGGATGGATTACATAAAATTAATATTAATACTGAAAAACTAAAAATTAAAATGCTAATAACTATGCTATGATTTTTTAGAACCAAATCATCAGCTTTTTGAGGTAGATCAATTAAAAAGCTGTGCAAATATCACAAGAATCCTTGTTGAGATGGGAAGCTACAGAAACCAAATAAATAATTAAATTGTTGTATGGTATAATAAAAGAGAAAAGAGACTGCCAAAGGCAAAAAGGGAAAGAAAACAAATATGATATCAGATGAAACAGTGGTAATTGCCAAGAAAACCGAAGCCAAAAAAGACAAAAGATTTCAGGAAGAAATCTTGTTATTCAAGAATAACTAGAAGAGAAAAGAAGCATTAGTATGACATCGGTAAATCCACTGATCGGTAAAGCAGACACAGAAAAACAAAGTCTTCTCAAAGTTTTCCAAATTGAGAAGGAGGTTTCAGGCTTAGGAAAATATAGTAAAGGATGCCAACGGGCAATTGGTAACTGATTCAAAGAACAGCAAGAGACCATGAGTTCAAGTCTCATCTTAGCCATGAAAGCCAGGTAGGTAACTTTAGGCCACTCTTAGGCCACCTCATAGGGTTGTTGTTGTGGGGAAAATAGAAGGAGGAAGGAGTGTTGGATATGTTTATCATCTTGAGTTATTTGTAAAAATAATAAAGGCAGAATAAAAAACAAACACAATTCTGTACAATAAAGATGTCACTGTCCAAGATACATTAAACTATATTCCTTATTTACATTATGTACTTTAGTATTAAAAGATGAAATTAGACCAGCACACTGCTCATTACTAAGTTGGAAAGCTACAGGAATTGATGGAATATCTGCAGAAATACCGCAATCAACAGAAGAACCAATAAAATGTCTAACCAAACTGTGCCAGCAAATCTGGAGAATGACCCAGTAGCCATCAGATTGGAAAAGATCAATTTGCATACCAAGATCATGCAAAGAAGACAGTGTAAACATTAATACTAATGAACTTCAAGGAACATAGTAAAAAAAATGATGTGATGTGTCTAAACCTACAAAGACCACCTATTAATGAATAATTAATAGATTTAAAGAAAAAAAGCTAAATATCAATTGTACTTTATTGCAGTGATTGTGCAGAAAAATGCTAGGATATATTATTTATATCTATAATAGTTATTTTATATTTATTTTATATAGTTCTTTCATTCTAGCTACTTTTGATTTGCATAAGTCAGCACCTTTCTTGCATCAAAATAATATTAAAATACTTCAGATATGTCGTCCTGTCATTCATTCACATAATTAAAAGAATGTTCTATCTTTTTAGGGTGACTATGGAGAGAGGGGAGAACAGGGAAAGAGAGGTAACAAAGGAGAAATTGGAGAGCCTGGCCCTCAAGGACCAAGGGTAAAACTTAAATATTTCACATTGACTTGGATCTAGATTAGTTATATGAAAAGTATCTACAGTATCAAAAGGACTGTAGTACATTTGACTTACTCTGGAACCAACTCTTATTTATATTACACAACAACTATATATTGCATAAGACTATAAAATAATATGCCATTTATTTATATTTCAGGGATTTTTAGGACAAAAGGGTGAACCTGGTCTTACTGTAAGTACATCTGTCATTTGTTGACATCAAAATAGTATTTTATATTAAAAACCACAATTAGCCCAGTTTAGGTATGTCCTTTGCATAGGTGTGAAATTAGAATGGGTACAATCAGCCTCCTATGCTGATAATAATCTCAGGTATTATGCTAACAGATGCAAATAATATTTCATTCACCATTGATGTTGACTCAGAAGATACATTTTGAACAGTGCTAGATTGGAATTTACCAGTATTTCTAATTTATTTGCATATAGCCAATTGTGAAATTAAAGCCATATTTAGTGATAATATATATTGATTGTGTCCATGTATAAATAGCCCGGTTAGTTGCTCCCTTGTTTAACAAAACTCCATATGATGGCAGTGTACATTTTCTGGTGAATCAATCAATAAAGAGCAGCTATATTTTAAGTCTACTCAGTGTTTTTTTTTTTGTTAAAAAAAAAAGGTGTCAGAACTCACCCATGACATACAACCCGCCTTACCTACCCTACAAGGTTCCATCCAAAAAAGATGCCGGAACTCCGTTCTGGGCATTCTAAGACAAAAAAAGCCCTGAGTCTACTAAGGGAGAGTTATGTTAGCCTTACTGACTTGGGCTATTCAAAGAACATACTTTTGTCCCTGTGATTCAATTAAACATGCTGTAAAAGTATAGCTTATTGAAAACTATTTTTAAAAAACACCTATGGTATTTCTAATTCTGAAAGACCAAACTAAGGTCTTGCTCTCTTTCAGAAAGAAGAAATAATCAAACTCATTATGGAGATATGTGGTAAGATCTACTTAAGGAAAGAAATCATTTTACTGTAAAAATCACTTTTGCTTAAAGAATTTAAAATAAATCTTATCAGTATATATTGCAATTAAAATTGTTGAGTGAAAGGAAAAAGAAAACAAAAGTTTGGACAAGCTTCGTATTGGGCTTTATGTTGACAATCTACAGAATATGCAGTGGATACTTCGGTGGTCTCATAAAATGGTTGCCATAGTTGGCATGGCAAGTTCCAAAACCCACTCTAGCTTCTAAGGCCTATCATCCCAGATTACCTCTGTTTTTTCTGGGCATGCTAGGAATATTTGTGTGTTAAAGAGTACTATACAAGAGGAAAAGAATTCTAGTAGTTTTATTCTAAATAAAAATGGATACCCTTACTTGGTCTAAAAGTTGCACAGTTATAGAAACTATTGATAGAATAACTACTTGCACATCATCAGAGAAACAAGTATTGGAGATTATAATTAAGTGTAAAATTTGTACATGTTAATTTTCATGACTTTTTTCAAATTTGGGAATTATTGTAATGTAAGGTGAATCTGTAAAGTGAAACTCTATTGTTTTTCTGTGGTGAGGCATTTTTACAAGCTAATTATCAATGTGTCTGCTGTACAATCTTCTGCCTAGGCATTAATAGTAGATGAACAGTTTCAAAACATTGCCTCTTTAGGAACTGTGGTGGCACAGTGGTTAGAATGCAGTATTGCAGGCCAACTCTCACTGCCAGGAGTTCAATCCTGACTGATTCAAGGTTCGCTCAGGTGTCCATCCTTCTGAGGTTGGTTAAAATGAGGATCCAGATTGTTGGGGGCAATGTGCTGACTCTGTAAACCATTTAGAGAGTGCTATAAAGCAGAGGATCTCAACGCCTGGACTGCAGCCCATTACTGTGCCTTGAGCCATTCAGAATCGGGTCATGGAAGTGGTAGGCGAGTACAAGCATCTCCAAGTGCTGGTACACACATGCTTAGTTACACAAATGGAGCTGTGTGTCCATGCATGCCCACTTTCACATAGAACCATTCCCTTTCCTCTCCTCGGCCGGTCCACAAAGCTGGAAAGGTTGAGAATCTCTGCTATAAAGCACTATGAAGTGGTGTATAAGTCTATTTGATATTGCTATTTATCAAATCAAATCTGAACCTGATTCAATGCCTTGATATAGAGTTTGAAAAATACATGCCCACATGACTAAGCTTTTTTTCTATTTTTCAACTCTCCATGGGAGGGGAAACAGGCACCTTTTATCTGTTTATTTATAAAATTTGTATGACTGCCCATTTTAAATACAACTCTGGGTAGCTGATATGAGAAATGCTTCATGTTATTTCATATTTTGGAGACCTTATTAGTTCTTGGAAAATCATACATATAACAAATTGCCTACACTCTTATTCTATCTACCACTTATTTCAGGCTGTGGTGTTAAGTGCAGAGAAAATCCTTTGGAACTTGTGTTTGTGATTGACAGCTCTGAAAGTGTTGGGCCTGAAAACTTTGAAAGGATTAAACGGTTTGTAAAAACTATAATTGACACTATCACAGTCAACCAAGCCACAACCCGAATTGGCATCATCAATTTTAGCCTCAAAGTAGATGTGGTGTCCACACTGCAGCAATTTCCTACCAAAGACACTTTGAAAAACGCTGTTGATGCAATGCAGTATTATGGGGAAGGCACATACACTGCTACAGCTATCAGCAAAGCCACAGAGATATTTCAGATGGCTAGACAAGGAGTTAGAAAAGTGGCAATGGTTATAACAGATGGGCAGGCAGATCAACGTGACCCGTATAAACTGGAAGCAGTGGTGAGAGATGCCCATGCCCTCAACATAGAAATTTTTGTAATTGGAGTGGTACAGAAGACTGATCCCAACTTTGAAAATTTTCGAAAAGAAATGGATTTAATTGCTACTGATCCAGACAGTGATCATGTTTACCAGATCGATGACTTCATGACTCTGCAAGGTAAGAGTGAGATGCCTTGACTTGAACAATGTTATTCACAGAGCTAAACTGTAGTTCCATCACACTATGATATATATGATGACAAGAAATCTTTATAAACCTATAGTATTAATTGTCAGTCATCTTGGATAAACCAGACATGAAACAAGACTAGATGAACTAGATCTATTTTATTGTAAGGTGACATTGACAGAAACTTGCAGATCTGACAGTAAAAAACTTCCTGCCATCACTTTTAACTGCTAGATCTACTAGAGTCCTTTTTTAGTTTCTTTCTCTGATCATTAAACCACCGGGACCTCCTTCCTATCTTGTCTGCTTTCCTTCCCCCCTTTACCCAAGATAATTCCCATATCCCATTACAATAATTAGTTGAAAAATACGACCTTATAAAAATAAAGAAATTGTTGCATGGGAAAATGAAACAATCACATCAGTAGCAGACATTAGGTGGAGTCTTTTTAGAATGAATTGACTATGAAAATTCATTTAGTCATATCCCTTTGATACTCTTAAAGCACTACAATGCTTTAAACTTTAGAATAAGGGTCATATTGGAAGATCAGATGATGGAATTGTTTATTTAAACTTTGATCATCCAAAACACATAAAAAGCAAAGAAAGTCATTCAGATCTGTTTCTCTTCTTTCTACTCCAAATGAATGGTTTTCTCTTTCACTGAACTCCAAATCAAAGGATTTTGCTAAATGTAAAATGGGCATTGATAAAAATGGACAATACTCTGCACCACTTCAATCTTTCTGAGTAATTTTGAATTTTGAGACATGCTCCCTAAATAGCTGCCATGGCCCCATTCACAAAATTACTGTCAAAACACATTTATTTACCAGAAATAAACTATTTGTGACAAATTGCTATTGGCATTTTATGGGATCTAAGTTCTTTAAATAAGCTGGTATTGTACTTTGAAACATGCTACCTTTCTCTCTCTCTCTCTCTCTTTCCCTCCCCCCCTCACCATATATATGGTCAAAAAAAGGTCACATCTAATTTCAAGTAATTCCTCCTTCCCCCCCTCAAAATAGATCACATCTAATTTCAATTAATTCCTATCTATACACAATTCCATTGTATAATACTGTTTTATTTTTCATATGTTTAGCTCTTGAGGATAAGATTTTCAAACAAATTTGTGAAAATGACTTGAGTTCCTATATCACCAAAGTGCTTAGTGCCCCCTCACTACAGCCAGAGACTAGTGATTCTGTAAGTATTACTAAAAATGACATTTGTACAGGAGGGGCAAACATTTAATGATCGAATTCATGCTTTGTGCAAGTCCACAGTCTTTGAATTAAGCATTGCTAAATTTTATTACTGTTTTTTTTCTTTATTGTAAATATACTTTTCAAAGAGACCCAGTGAGAAAGGAGCATCCTATTTGGATCGGGATCACAATGTTTCCTCAACCACTTCCAAGCATATTCCTGACCATCATAGACGGCCAGTCAGCCAAGATTATTTGGAATCTAGCACTCACCATCCGGATTTAACAGTTGTATCTAATGTAACTAGACATGTGCAACCTACACCAGCTGTTGTTCCACTTCCTACAGTAATACATGTTATGAAAGGTATGGAAGCTTTCAGTTCTAAAGCTGAAGAGATAAAATGGATGAGTAGACTTAATAAAACAATTTTTTTTGTTATCAGAGGAATCTTATGGTAGTTTCTAATATCAAAAACCAAAAACAGAAATTCACAATTGCTTTGCTTCGCTTCTATTCTTCCTTTCTTTTGCACTGGCACTATTCACACTACTTTCTTGCCTCTACATGAAAAGTCAAAGCAGTCAGGGAGCCACAGCCTAGGATGACAGTAGGTGGCATCAGGACCCACCACTTCTCCCTGGCCCTTATGAGTCTGAACTTGTACTGGGCCCATGAACTGCATCATAATCTTAACACTTAACAGGGAGACAGAGGATCAGCTAGCAATGGAATATTTCTATATGCCAGCCAAACCTTGTATACAATGGCTCACATTGTTAACTCATATGTTCAGCTATACCTAGTTCTTGCAAACCTTCTTTGAGACTTCAGTCTTTGCTTGATTGTAATGATGAACGCTTTCATGTCTTGTAAACTTTAGGAGGAGCTTTATTCCCTTTTAATAAATTATATTATTATAAGTGCCCAGACTGTGCTTATGATTACATCTTTCAGTTGTTGAGACTCAACAGTTGAGAGTCAGCCTGGCATGCCATCAACCATTGTTTTTATCTGGCAGCAAAGTTCTAGAGACAGTTTATCATGAATAAATGATAAATTGTGGTGCAGACAGTCTGGGTTAAGAGCCAATAAATAACTTGTATTTATGAACAGACTGCCTATTACCAAAGTGACAGAGTTCTCCTTCCTTGATCTGACAAACTCCTGAAGCTACGCAATGTTTTCGTGAACTGCTGAAACTGCGTATTTTAAATGAACAGTAACGTTACGTTTTCAGAGGTTTTCAGTGGTTTGAGAAAACACTGTGCATCTTCAATGCTTTGTTGTTTGAGGCAGGAGAATGCTATCTGTCATTCTTAGTAATAGACAGTAAGAAGCCTATTCCTAAGAACAAATTCTCACTTAAATACAAATTTGAGACAGAAGGATGGGTCTCATTCTTAACTTAAGGATTGCCTGTATACACCTATGTATACCATTCTTGGTGGCTTAGAATCAGATGGTCTAGGTCAGGGGTAGGCAAACTTGGCTCTTTTATGACTCATGGACTTCAACTCCCAGAATTATTTTCCACAGAAAAAAGAAAAGAGTCCTTTCTTAGATGCTTTATCCCTTCTATGGGCTGAAATTTGTCTTGTTGTCTTGTTGGTTGCGCCTCTTTCTCTTGCCTTCCAATGTTATTCTTAGCCCTTGACATCTAATCAACACATTTAAAATGCAAGAGGGAATTAAATCTAAGTTTCTTCATTTATTGGTGTTCGTCTCACCTTCCATCTCCCTATTTTCTACAGAAAGCAAATAAGACGGAGCAATAGTACATAACAATTAATGAACAACCAATGAAAATAAAAAAGCATAATTTATTTGTATAGATCTCAAGAATGAGTATATGTGATATTTAAACATTCAACAGACTGAAAAAACTGGAGAACCAATTTGGTCTAGTGGTTAAGGCAGTATAGGGAAGTCCTCAATTTACAACTATTTGTTTAGCAATGGCACTGAAAAAAGTGATTTATAACCATTTTTCATACTTACAACTTTTACAGCGTTCCCCTGGTCATGTGATCAACATTCGAATGCTTGGCAATTGCATGTATTTATGTCCCAAGTTCATGTGATCACCTTTTGTGACCTTCTGACAAGCAAAGTTAATGGGAAAGCCAGATTCTCTTAATAACCATGTTATTGACTTAACAACTGTGGCAAAAAAGGTCATAAAATGGGAAAAACTTAGTTAACAACTATCTTGCTCAGCAACAGAAATTTTGAACTCAGTTGTGGCCATTAAACAAGGACAAACTATAATCTAGAAAATTGGAGACTATAGGTTAATCCCACCTTAGCCATGAAAGCCAGTTGGGTGACCTTGGACCAGTTACTCTCTCTCAGCCCTACTTACCTCACAGGTTGTTGTGGCAAAAATAGGAAGAAGAAGATGTGTTAGATATGTTCACTTCCATGAGTTAATTGTAAAAGTAATAAAGGCAGGTTATAAATAAATAAAGGGAAAGTCAGTTAATTATAAAGAAAATCTTAATTTTTATTTATTTTTTATTACATTTCTATGCCTTCCATTTCCCCTACAAGGTCAGTCTGGGCAGCTTATTCTATCAATTACATGTCTTATTAAGTAAAAGCCCAATTGACTAAAGGGATTTCTGTTTATAGTAATTTTAAAAAGTACTGATTGGAATATGGTCGAAACTTGGAAGGTGAATATACTGTGTATTATTAATCTTTGAACCCTCCGAGCATTACAAAGGAGGATTGTATCTGCCAGTCAATCAGCACTATGTACAGCTAGCACTACAGCAATCTTGCAGAACCAGTTAAGGCAGGGAACGCTAAGAGTGTCATGAAAGCTGAAAACAATGCAATTGTAACTCTTACTTACATTGCATAATAAAAATACAGGTAGTGACAATGATTTGTAGTAATAAAGTTGTGTAGACAAAACATTTCAGCTTCTATAGAAGTACATCAAAACAATAAATATACATATATATTGTTTTCAGAAACCAGGTGTTTAGAACCAATGAAAACTGGAAGCTGCCGAAATTATCGAGTGAAATGGTTTTATGCCAAGGATACAAATTCTTGTGCCCGATTTTGGTATGGAGGTTGTGAAGGCAACCAGAATAGGTTTGAAACCGAACAAGAGTGCCAAGCAATTTGTGTTCAAGGATAAAGGTGAGATGTCTTAAATAAGATGTTTCTATTTATGTATTTTATTTATTTTGAAATAGCGATGCAAACCTTTTCCTTAAATAAACATATTGGTTGTTTAAGGTTGAACTAATCTGAACTGTATGCTCTCTAAAAATCTGTACATGTAAATTTTTTTAGGAGTTAATATTAAAATGTATTTCTCTCTTACAGAAATCACAAGATGTTATAAGAAAATGAAGCCAAAGTTTGCATAAAAGAAATTCAAATGCTGTATTAATAGTACTTCTATAATATACTTGGTGCTTTTATGAAACACTGACTTTTATAGTTTTATAATGTCTTATAATGGTATGATATGATATAGATTATAGTGTAATACAATATTGTATCTTTATAGATGATAGTTTTACTTGATAAAAAGCAGTTTACATTTTTATGCTTATTGATCTATATTTCAGGAGCAATTTTTAATAAGCTAGATATCAAAGATCATCATAATTTAGCCTTCATAAATATGGTTTTATTATGCTGAAGTGAAAATATTCTGTACCACTCAATATATAGAATAGAATGTGAATTTTAGATCATCATCAGAAACTGCAACAGCAACAAATGGACAACTGTATCATAATTAGGAACTTTCAAAATAGAATCTTTCCCTATGGATACAGCTATAACTCTTTTCCTATATCAAAGCCTATGTAGTCTTGAAGCTAAGGATAATGAAAATCTGGTTGTTTGCTGCTTCCCCTTTGGGTATCTTTCTTCAGATGCCAAGATCCAGCTATAATTGTAGCAACAAGCCACAGAGAATAATTAATGGCTACAGGTGTCCTGTTCATATCAAGACACCATCCTGCCAATTTAGTAATACATTTTAAGACTATTAAGGATAGTTTCTTATGCAAAAATCTCTGAGTAAAACAGGACCAGTATTTTGAATGTTATTGTTATTCCATATACTCTTGTTTCTCAGGGGTCTTAAACAAAAGATGAAAATAAATTCATAGTAAATGTCAAAATCAATTATAGAAGAATAAGGGAAAGCACTGACAGATGTATATAAGTATATTTTTTCATACTGTATTTTTCTTTTAAACTATATCTCTGCACCAAAAGTACTGTATATGCTAAAACTGATGAGTCATAATTAAACGTATCATATAAACAAGTTGTTCAGTTGCAAAGTCATGTTCAACTCTTTGTGACCCAATGGACCATAGTATGCCAGGTCCTTCTGTCCTCCACTGTCTCCTAAAATTTGCCCAAATTTATGTTTATTGGGCCAATGACACTGTCTAACCATCTCATACTCTGCCATCCCCTTCTTCTAGTGCAGTGGTTCTCAACCTGTGGGTCGGGACCCCATTTGGGGTCGAATGACCATTTCACGGGGGTCGCCAAACAACACAGTCCGCCATTTTTTCCCCCTTTTCCTTAGCTGTGCTACTCCCTTTTATTCTATTGGCTTTTGAAAGCCAATAGAATAGACTCTCTTGAATAGAGTCTAATTCTATTGGCTTTCAAAAGCCAAAAGGAATTGTCCAGGCTGTCTCTGCCCTGCTGAGCCCGCCAAAAGTCCCATTCTGCAAATGGTGCTGCACCAGTTGAGTAGTTCTCGACTTACGACCGTTGAGTAGTCCTCAACTTATGACAAGTTGGGGGTCGCGGCATTAAAAAGGTTGAGAACCACTGTTCTATTGCCTTCAATCTTTCTCAATATCAGGTTCTTTTCCAATGAATTCTTTCTTCTCATTTGGTGGTCAAAGAATTTGAGCATCAGTTTCAGTATCTGTCCTAAAAGAGAGCAATCAAGGTTGATTTTCCTTTAAGATTGACTGATTTGATCTTTTTGTATCCAAGAGATTCTCAAGAATCTTTTCCACCATCATAATTTAAAAGCATCAATAGTTCAGTACTCAGCCTTCTTTACAGTCCAGCTCTCACAAACATATAGTACTACTGAGAAAATCATAGCTTTGACTAAACACATGAACAAGAGGGCTGTTTTATTTGAAAGTGTGGTAATGTGAACATTTCTCCATAAACTTAAATCAATTCAGCTAAAAGATAAAAGTGTTGAAGTTAGCAACGAATATGACCATAGAGCCTACATTGGCTAGCAAAATCTTGCCATGATTTCAGGTAGAACATAGTTGGTTAGCTGTGAAAAAGGAGATAAACAAGGACACATTACCAAGGATTGCTATACTATATAAGTCTTCATCCCTATACAAAGCAACAGGTTGAATAAATTGTGGTTCCTCAGGGATATTGTAAAACCATATTGAGTTAGCTCATGAAACTCTGTAGAATGGACATATGGGTTGGGATAGGACCATTTATAAGATCTTATCAGATCCTGGATAATTTCTATTTGCCAGGGATCTATAAAGAGGTGACCCAATACTGCAAAATATCTTTATATCTTTAGTCCCATCCTTTTTTCAAAAGTTACCATGGATATTACCATGTTCCAATAAAGACAATGAGTATGTTCTGGTGGTATGTGACTATGCCAGTGGGTACCCTGAAGCAGTTCCTTTAAGAAATATGACCACTAAACATATAATGGAGGAACTAGTCATAATTTAAAATTGAGTAGATATACCACAAGAGATTCTTACAGATCAAGGCACAAATTTCCAATATCTATATGCAGACCTGGGAATAAAAGGGTGCATTACACACAGGCAAATGGTCTTATGGAACGGATGAATTTAAGAATGTGTTAAAGAATATGCTAAAAAAGAATATGTTAAAAAAATACACAGAGCAGGACCCAAAACATTGAAACACTTGGCTGCCATTTCTGCTGTTCATATATAGAGAGGTTCCACAGGCATCCACAAGTTTTAGCCCTTTTGAATTATTATATGGGAAAGAACATTGTGATATATTAGATATAATTAAAGAAGGGTGGACTGGAAACCTAGAAACCTGACTGAATACATCCTGACACAAAGGAATAAGTTGAAGGCCATAGAACATTTCACCCAGAAACTTTTAGCAACTGCCAGGGAAAGCCAAAAACACAATATGATCAGGGGTTAAAGACTAAGAAATTTGATGTAGGGGACCAAATCTTATTATTATTGCCAAGTAAAGAAAGTAAACTACAAGCACAGTGAAGGCCCCTGTGTAATAAGGAGAAGAATTGGTCTAGTAAATTATGAACCTCCTACAGAAATGGCACAGTAGAGTTGCTCTGGGATGGCCCTATTGGTACTGAAAGAAAGTAATCCAAACTTAGTGGATCAAGCTTGGAAGGTACTACAGCAACCATCCCAAGGAATCATGCATATAAATCTTTAGCTAAGAGAGAATCAAAAAGATGAGATAAGAAGAATATTGGAGAATTATAAATGGTTACTGGACAGCCAGGTACAACTACCTTGGTGGAACCCAGGATAGGTATGGGGGAAACCTGACCTATCTGACAATGCTTGAATGGTTGAAAGAGGTGCTACAAAAGAAAAGTTTGTTCCAGACAAACGTAATAGAAGTATCTATCAATGAATGGTATTGACATTTCTGTTGGTGCCAAAAGCTGAATAGTGACATAAGGTTTTGGGTAGACTTCTGGCAGAGTGGTGAAATTTGATAGCTAACTGGGACCCAGAATGGACAAGTTTCTGGATGAGTGGAGAAGCCAAATATCTGTCTTCTGTAGACTTAAAAAAGGGATAATGACAAATCCTACCAAAACCCCAGTCCAGAAAAAAGACTTGTCAATATTTGTCAGTTCCCCAAGAGTTTTTTTTCAGTTTAAGAAAATGTAATTTGGCTACATTGGGTGCCTACCACCTTCATGAGATTAATGAACAAAATCCTTCCCAGGCAAAGAAAATGATGTGCATTTTATTTAGATGATATCTGGGAGGATCATGTGCATCATGAGGAAAGCAGTGGAACGTCTAAGGGAAGCTGGACTTACTCTGAACCAGAAAATGCTACTTGAATTTTCAAGAAACCCAATACCTGAGGTTTATGGTAGAAAAGGGATAAATAAAACCTGAACAGAGGGAGATGGAAACTCTGAGATAAATAGAAACTCCCAAAACAAAGAAAGATGTAGTATGTTTTTTCCTGTGATTGGTAGGACATTACAATGGTTTATCCCCAATTCTTCCCCATTGCTCAACCCCTAACAAAGCTAACCAGGAAATCTTCCAAGATAAGTGGGCAAAAGAATGCCAGGAGGCAATTGAAAGGTTAAAAGTGCTCCATGTGGAAAACTGGTGCTGAAGTGACTGGATTTTATGCAATCATTTGTTGTACAAATAGATGCATCCACTGGTTCAGATGCAGTATTGATGCAAAAACAAAAGGACCCCTCTCTCCCAATTCTTTATCAAAGAAACTCCTCCAATAAGAACTATAATACCATCAAGAAAGAGATGTATGCATTGAAATGGGTGATCAATGACCTCCCAATTCTTTATCAAAGAACTCCAATAAGAACCGAACTATAATACCATCAAGAAAGAGATGTATGCTTTCAAAATGAGTGATCAATGACCTCCATGTGTACTTTAGGGGTCAGTAATTCACAGTGATCACCAACCACCAGCCACTCACATTCTTACAGAAGATAAGGAAGACAAATGTTACATATTCTGGTGAGAGAAAAGTTCCCTGAGGATTGGACTGTAGCATTAGTCTGAAAGATTAGACGACTAAAACTCTGGTCCTGGTTACTGACCCAGATTGGATTTTGCAACATTATCCTGGGATGTCCACCTCAGCTCCTTAACATCATCAGGTCCTTTCATGAGGATATGAAGGGCATTGTTGTTTTTGATGGCTTAACATTTGATTCCTTTGACATTCGAAGTAGAGTGAAGCAGGGCTGTGTCCTCACGCCAACTTTATTCAGGATCTTTTTTGCTGTCATACTGAAACATGCTTTTGGAACTGCAACAGAGGGTATCTATCTCCGGACCAGATCAGATGGAAAAACTCTTTAATTTTTCTAGATTGAGAGCAAAGTCTAAAGTCCAGCTGAAATGCCTACGGGATTTCCTCTTCGTTGACGATGTTGCTGTTACTGCTCACTTTGTCGAAAATCTTCCACAACTTATGGACTGTTTTAGCAAGGCCTGCCAAGACTTTGGTCTAACAATCAGCCTGAAAAAAACACAAGTCATGGGTCAGGATGTGGATTCACCTCCCTATATTACAATCTCTGCACAAGAACTGGAGGTTGTCCATGACTTTGTGTACCTCGGCTCAACTATCTCTGACACTCTCTTTAGATACTGAGCTGAATAGATGTATTGGTAAAGTGGCCACCACATTTTCCAGACTCACAAAGAGAGTATGGCTTAATAAGAAGTTGACAGAACATACAAAGATCCAGGTCTATAGAGCCTGTGTCTTGAGCACATTCTTGTATTGCAGTGAGTCTTGGACCCTTTATGTATGGCAGGAGAGAAAGCTGAACACCTTTCATATGCGCTGTCTCCAACATATTCTCAGCATCACCTGGCACGACAAAGTCCCAAATAGTGCATCCTGGAATGTGCTGGAATTTCTAGCATGTATACATTATTGAAACAGCGACGTCTATGCTGGCTTGGGGATGTCGTGAGAATGGCTGATGGTCGGATTCCGAAAGATCTCCTATGTGGAGAACTAGTGCAGGGAAAGCGCCCCAGAGGGAGACCTGAGCTGCGATATAAGGATATCTGCAAGAGGGATCTGAAGGCCTTGGGAATGGGCATTAACAGCTAGGAATCCTTGACTTCTGATCGTTCAGTCTGGAGGCTAAAGACACAGCATGGCCTTCTCAAATTCAAAGAGGCACTTGTGTGGAGGCTGAGGCAAAGAGGCAGTCCCGGAACCAGCGAAATCTGGGGGCTGGACAGGGAACAGATTGTATCTGCCCTCAGTGTGGAAGGGACTGCCACTCTCGAATTGGCCTTTTTAGCCATACCAGATGCTGTTTTAGGACCTCTTTCCAGAGCACAGTGCCATAGTCTCTCGAAACTGAAGGATGCCAATGATGATGATCCTGAGACATATATATTTGCTTTCATTCATGAGTGATTAATTTATCATGCAGGAGAGGACATTTCTGAAGCCTTTTGAGGAGACCCTGGTTCACAATCTCCTTAAAAAGCCATTAATTGATCCCACCTGCCTAAACAATTTTCATTCTGTTTCCCA